TATTATTTCTGATTTCACATCTTAAATTCCCTTAATCACTAGTATAAGAACCTGTGCAGAGTTAAAACTTCTAAGATCATTATTCTTAATTAATTAAAAGGTGAAAATTTAAAATCCCCTGAAAAATTGTAATAAACCACAATACATATTTTATAATGCAGATGGAAATAGCTTGTGCATTATTTTGTGCAAGATACAAAAACAGTTTTCAAAAAATGTATTTAAACCAAGATGGGAATCAATACGCCCTAGAAAAGTAATTTTCTGTATTATTAAACATGATGACTGTGCAGGACTGCTGCACCGACGTCGCAAGGTAGCAGATACACTTTCGGAGCAAGTGAGGGCCACCTTCATACTGACTGTCAGAAGTTCAGAAATTGTGGACTTAAGTTCTGCTTTTGCAGAAGTTCAAAAGAATGGATTACACAATGGGGGGAGGGGGGGGAAGCTAGGCTTCTAAAAACTGCAAGGTCTTTAGGGTTCTTTAGTATCCTAAGGGATGGGTCATGTTTATTAGTGCTTATTTAAGTAGAAAAAAAACAACTCAGCTTTTGAGTGCTTATTTAGAAAATGCAAATTCCACATAGCTCCAAACAATACAGTATCTTCTTGCTAAACAGAGTTGGAAATGGCTGCTCGAAAACTGATATTACACCTTAAATCATCCAGGTTTCTGCTTATTTCATTTTTCTTTAATTAAAACTAATACTAGGATCCTGTAGCATATAATTTCCTGTTTTGTGGAAATCCTTCTAATCAGGACATTTAGAATGGATGTCCCCTTTAAATAGGCTGTTTTGTAACATACGCAATGCAGAAGGGAGTGCTATCATAACACTTCAATAGTTAAGTGACTTTATGAGAAAAATACTTCCAAATGTTTCCTAAAACCTTCCAAACCGCACCAAAGCACATTATCGTAATATTATGTTTCCCTATGGCCTCCAATATTTAAGCTTGCTATTCTCGAAATGATACTTGGATGAAAAATATAAGTTTATGTAATGCATAAATTGTTCCTAAAAGAAAAGTTGCCTTTAAAATTACTCTATATAGATGTCAGATATTTTACATTTTCAATAGCTTTGCTGTATTAATTGAACAAATAGCATGCCAGTGCTTTGGGCTGCACAGGACTAGCCTGTATTTTAAAGCTGAACCAGTCACTGTGTGATCTTATTCATAGCAAATACTGAAAACAATAACTGTCCTAAACGATTACATATCAAGTTTCGCTTAATAGATATCCATATTTCTTGCACAGTATACATAATCCATATAAACTGTATACCATATATCAATAACATATTCCAGCGAATCCAGCATCAAAGAGTTCGTTTATAGTAGGTTTTCATTTGACTCAGGGTTGTAATGTTCTGTGCAAGCATAAGCTAACCATTTCACTGATTTTGCCAGCAAGCTGCTTTTTGGCAGATTATTGGCAGTACGTATTGGCAACAAACTAGTGCAACTAAGCCCGTCTTATAACTTACAGGTAAATAATGATTTTAATAAATTTATGTAAAATGTTCCACTTGCTCACATCTGTTTTTGATAATCTATTCAACTGCACAAATGCAAACTTCTGCGTGGTTTCTCAGGAAAACATATATTTCACCTTAATTATTCAACGCTTTCTCAGGTACCCTACGAAATAAATAAGCAATGAAGCCTACTTTCATTGGAAGGCTCAACTGCAGTAAACTAACATTATCTGAAAATGCCAGAGAAATGAATTAAAACCAATGATTTTATACACACAAAAATCTAAAACACCTTTTGTCAAGAATACAACAGTGAAGTAATAAGAAAAACACAAGACTACGGTACAGTCATCTCAGTCACCGGGCATTAAAATCGTGAAGTCCAGTCGTTTGCCCCCGAGCCTGAGGACTATGTGGCAACGCAGAGACTTTGACCTCTATTTGAAAACATGCTACTGTATTAGATAAATTTGTATCTACAACTAAAGCGTAAGTGCGTATGCATTTGGATCTCTGCTAGGCAGTGTGGTTTAGAGGAAACCCTGAGTTTTAAGCCCGACTTTGCCAGTGAGTCAGTGCCTCACTGTCCAAACACCAAAAGTCTTTTTTCATCTCCAAAACTGTTAACTGCAGTATATCTCTGCCATGTAAGGATTAAGGCTTTTTTCAGAAAGCTCAAAAACGTTATTACTACTAGTAGCAGTACCATTAAAGGAAAAAAAAAAATCCTCGGACTTCCTTTTTTTTTTGGTATAAATCAGCATGACTCTCTGATGCCGGTTTAAGATAGTTGAGAATCTGTCCTTTAATATTTTGGTACCAGAAAACTGTCGCTGCATCCTGGGGGCTCCTTGCAGAGTCTACACTGCCAAATTCCTGGAAAACCTACGTGACCCATCACTGAGTTACCTCTTAAGGTACGTGGCCCATTAAGATAACCTATAACTTATTAGTGACCTATTAAGATAACTCTATATACAATAAAAACATTAAGGATGATGAAACAAGAAGAGGAATAAACATTTTTTTGTAGGAAAAAAAGAAGAAAATAGCAGCAATATGAGCAGAACTGTTACCATATATGCATGTTCCCTGGCATGCACTGTCACAGCGACATTATCTGCAGGAGAACAACTGGGAAAACAGTGCCTCCACCCTAAGTTTGTTCCACAAAGGCTTGTGGAGCTTACAACATACTGTGGGGTGGAAATGGTCATTTTGAACAAAACCACACTGAGAAACAACAAAAGCCCTCCAGAAACCTTCTGTGGAGATGCAAAAAGCTTGACAACTGCTTAACCCAATGCTTTGCTTAAACAACCTAAGAGTTGTTGTTAATACAGATGCACCCTAAGAGATCTTGGAAAGGAGTACACTCAGTATGGTATGCTGAAGCTTCTGCTGAAACAGATATAGAGGAAATAAAGGACAGCATATGGGAATTCAAAGACAGATGACAAAATCAAAATACAAGTACTTAATTATGCTAAAGAGAAGTTCCTTCTGTTCCTTCCTCCTTCAATGACCAAGCCACCGAATCCTACAAAACTGATTCCACTACCTGCCACCACAACTAGTGGAAGCAATACACTTCAAAATGTTTTACATAGCGAATGTCCACATCCATCCTGCTTGTTGATATATTTCAAAGTTTTGTTTAATAATTGTTTTAAACGGGACTTGCAATGAACAGGGAATAATTGCAACTATTAAGCATCAGATTCTACTTGTGCCCAGTTCAGCTTAGAATTTGCTTACAGATTTCTACCTTTTATTCGTTTACGGAGTCAGCGGTTTAGGATTTTGTAAAGCTTGGCAACACGGCTAAAACTCAGTGAATTCTTGTTGAGATCTATCGGAAGTGCTGGTAAAACTCTGCGTTGCTATAGTGGACTTGCTGTTAATTTGATCTGCTTCAAGGATTCCATATCCTTCCAGCACGTTATAGACCTAAGGGCATATATTTGTATTGTTTAAAGGCAGGAAATTCTGTGAACTGAAATGAGAACATATCCCTTTTGCCTTTACGGACTTTTGTTATTTTCTCTTCCTTTTGGGGTTTTGGAAACAAAACCAGTGAAAGCTGAAAGTCTGAACAATAGCAAATTACCTTAGAGGAGGGGAAAAAAGTAAAACGCTAAGTACACTTTTATAGCTTTATTCATACACTTTGTATATATGTAAATCAGACTTATCCAGGCATCAGAAAACACTATTTGCAGCAGGGCTTTAGACTGCGATAGGATCATACTGTTGTTGTCATAAAAGAACACGGACTTTGCTGTTTTATTTTATTATTATTCCTTTACTACCTTGTATTAACTTGTACCCCACTGACTTCATGAGAGAGCAGATTTGTTTCGTGCTAACCACACAAGTAGGGCAATCACATTCTTACTGCAAGGAGAAAAACTAATACTCTTTATAACTCTTTAACTTCTTGCCCATCAGACCCCTACATCCTTCTGTCAACTGATGCAAAAGTCCTTCTAAAAGTGCAAACTTCTGGGCCCCGTTTACACTATGCAGACACATGAAAGGGAACTGGTGAGAGGTGACGAGGGATGCATAGAAAGAGTTTGACACATACGGCCTTTAAGACAAGTACAGCAGCAAACTTTCCTGTAGTGGCCCTGTACTAATTAGCGCAGGGCCTGGAAACAGAGTAGCTGCGTTCACGTGGATATCTGATCTCAGCAGGCTGTATTATTCTCAGTGGAGCCCTGCATGAATATGTCCATACTGCTTTTGGCAGTCACATGAGCTTGGTTAGAGCAGATGAGGTATCTTTAGTACACCCAATAAATTACTCTGTAATACTTGTAAGACTAAGAATAGGGTATCCTACAAGAATAGGGGAGAATTTACTACCACTTAACAAGTTACCATGCATCAGCTGAACTACAGTTATGGCTCTCATGAATACTCTTACCTCGTGGCAGACCACAGGGATCCAACTAAGCTAAGCCTGCAGCAAAACTTACTGCAGTGCAGTTCACGTGCAGCAACCTCAACTACAGTAGTATCAGCAAAAGTCTAAATACTTACTCAGCACTTGTATTAGGCGTAAAACAAGCACATTGTTTCCATTTAATAAGCTTAATAGCTAAATATAAATGACAGTGGGATGCAAAGCTTGAGAGAGACATTTGACACCCAAGATACTGCTTGGCCACCGGATTTCTTCTATCTAGTGTTTCTTCGCACTCGCTAATCCCTCTTCCTGGACAGCAGTAATTATGGCATTGGTGGCCTGCAGGACTTGGGTTTATTTGCTTTCATTCGGCACCGTGCTTCATGCCCATCTAATCTGCTCTTGGAGGTTACAACAACTGAAGCAGGGATCACAATGAGGCACCATCAATCATCACAATAGACGCAACTCAGCTGTTTTGATGCAGTCAAAGCCTATGGTGGAGAAGAATCTTAACAAGAGATTTGAAAGAGCATGAAGAAGCAGCTTCACTTTGAGTAATTGCTCACAATAATGATGTCCAAAGAAATGCTACTGACCAGCAGCACGGGGGTATAAAGAGATGAAAGGTGCTCCCGTTCATCTGCGGATTATCTGTACTGCAGATCTCTGCGTAACAGCAAAGGGGATCCATAACTACCATCTGCAGGACTCTTCCCTTCTTCCTCCAGAGGTGGCCTCTGCAGAAACAGAGAAAGGCTTGGTGCCCCCCCATACATCAGTGCCACGTTACCTTCCTGCCGGAAAAAGCAGGGATCTACACCCTAGTAGCTATGATAATCGCAACTACCTCAGCTAATGATTTGTTCTTGGGGTCATGTCAGCACGCATGCTTTCTTATTCAGAGCAGATAAATTTAATAGTTTGGCCTAAATGGTCAAAGAACTGCTAACGTTACAGTTTGGTATGCAGCAGCATACAAACGTTTATGTCACACAGCACACACAACTAACTCCCTGTACACCACCTGTTTACTGATCCTGCTTACACCTTTCTTGGCTCCCCTGCAAATGCAATTAAAGATTCTTAGGAGAAAAATAAAAACTGAGTTCATGAACTATGCACGAAATTGGCTGCGTCACCATTTATTAAAAGTCATGATAAATTGAAAGGTCCAACTAAAAGGAGCAGAAGCACTGTGTGCTAGGGTGTAATTGCAGACAGAATTTTTTCTACTAAGATCAAAAGAACAAGGTGTTCATATAAATGGCATTTTATTTTGATCCTATGATTCTGTATGAGCCAGAAGAGAGATCAAAGGAAAAAATACCCAGGTTTCACTATTAACACTTAACATAGCTCCAGTTAGAAAATCCTTTCCAGATTGCTAGTGCAATTTAAAGCCCAGCACATTTTTGTTGTTCTGTTGTGTAATATACCTGAAGGCACCGTTTTGATTCCTTGACCACCTCTTTCATTGTGGAAAATTGCTTCTGATATATATATTTTTTCAATTATTTTCTTTTTTATTATAAGTAATCCCCTGACACCCTGAGTTTGGGACTGCATTGTTTTGAGTTCAATCCACTGTCACAAAGAGACACTCTTTGCCCTGAAGTAGTGATAATATAATACTGACTGCACAGAGTAGTAAGGAAATTCAATCCTGTTGCAGTCCAGTCCTCAGCTTGGTTCAGCCCCTGCCAGTGGTAGTTCCATTGGAAGCAAAGCATACCAGTTTCAACCGAGTATGTAAACGAAACCTAATGCCCTTTAAAATATCTAAAGGCTCCTTCTGATAGCTGGCAAGAATAAATGGGCCTTAATATGTTATATCACATGTTATGACCTTATCTGGGATCGGTACTTCTAATTAATAGTTCTGTCGCCACTCTCAGAACCCAATAGCGTTGCATAAAGAAAAAATAATCATATATAATGTTTCTTACAAAGCCAAAGTATGCTAACGCATTTTAACACACATTCTTTCTTTGCAGGTAAGTTTCTCCTTGATGATTCAGTAATTTATGGTGGACATTTCAGAATATTACTTCCAGTGAATTTCCTCAACCTGCAAAGAATATTCAGTCCTTTTGCAAAGACTGCAGAAATCTGCTAACAGGTATAGCTTTTTAGATTACCTTTGGAAAAATAAACAATCTAGTAGGCCTAAGGAAAAAAAGAGTGTATATGTCCCTCTTTCCTGCCTTTCCTCCCCCTCTCCAGTTGCTATTAAAACATTCATGTTACAAAGTCGTTCCAAAGTTTATTGTAAATGCCAAAAAGCGGGCACTGATCCCACATGAGCTGGCTCAGTTATGACCTACCATCTTGAACATATTCATTGTATCCAATTCAGTGCCAGGATTTTTTTTTTTTTTAAATCAACTTTTCTCTAATAATGGTAGATTTCACATATACAGTGAGATAGCAAGTCATGATTCTGGGAACTTGGTCAGTGAATGCTAAATGCATGCAGGTGAGCTGTAGCCTAGAATGAACATTACAACTACGAGTTAAACTAGACAAAACATCTCATGCTCAGTCAGAATATGTTCATATTACACAAAGCAGCCAGCTGGCTATAAATCCAAGAAGCAAGCTGGAAATCTTTAGAGTTTAAATGGATGAATACAGACACAAATGGAAGAACAGTGCTTTGTCATCATATGAATGACTTTTAACCAAAAAGAGTGGATTGCTTTTATGATAGCTTTCCAAAAGAGTAACCTTGCTGAGATGAAACTGAAGTACAATGATTTGAGCATTCCACTTCTGAATTATATTTGCTATTGTGTTTTGAGAGAACTAGAGAAGTAGTATTCTGCCTCTCTGAATAATTATAATATGGGTTTAGATACGGGTATTCTTAGTGAATAGGACATGAGCTCTTCAATAGTACCTTTGCAGCTGATGATCCATAAACAGGATTACTCTATTCACTTATTTCAGATTTAAATTACCACGAGCTCGGCTGTAAGAACCTACGACCCATTTTTTTGCCATATTTCCAACTCTATATAATATATACTATAGTCTTCTGTACTCTAGCCATATGAATCACTACTGAACATATGGCCAGTTGTCCTATGTGTGCACAAGTCCTCTGCTAAACCAGCACTTTCCTCTCAGGCACAAAGGACATCAAGGGAGATCAAGCAGAGATTTTTTTTTTTTTTTTTGATGACAAGCAGAGCTTTCTGCTATACAGACCCAAGAAATGTCCTAAGAAGTTTTCAGAAATGGATGATTTTCTAGAACTCTGATTCTAGATTTACCCCACTTGAACATAACTGCTCTTACCAAGATAAATTCTTGCTCTTTCTCCATTCCACCTAAAGCAGACGCAATTCCCCCTCCTGAACCCAACATCACAGTTTAGCTTCTTGCAAGATGCTCTAATCAACCCAGAATGCAGCTGAGCTTTAAAACTGCAGAGAAACTTCACATGGATTAACTATGTTCACATATATATTTTCAATTAAAAAAAACAAAACACAAAAAAAAAAAAACCAAAAAACACAACTTTCCTGATGTTTAGAAGTAGCTGTAAGTTTCTGGTTTTGATGTGCTCACTGCTGATAGAATCAGATGAAAACTGTAGGAAGACTGATAACAAATTTGCTCCTCAAAACTTTTTGCCTATTTCTCTGAAATGATTGAACGGGAACTGTGAGGGAAAGAACAAAGATTTGCTGTTCTTTACAGTCACGTAATGAAAGTGTAGGTTAAGAAAGGAAGGAAGTATTTGCAGATTTCAGATATTTTGTGGACCTTTGTTGCTTTTTCCTTGTATTCAGATCTAATCTCAGCTGAAGCAAAGAGCTGAACTTTCATGTTCTGCAGTACTTCAGTAATACAAAACTCAACCCACTTTGACACTTATGCCAAGATGGACTCGAGATACATATTTTAACTTCAGCTTTTTGTAGGCATTTACTCATGCTTATAAATTAAGAGAAAATGTTTTACCAAGAACAGAAGGCTTAAAATGATACTTCTGAATAAATTAATACAACTATTTGACAATTTGTATGTTCATAGTAGAACACGCCTGCAGGATAGAAAGACATAGCTACAAATTTTAGAAGAAGATTGGATAGAGAATTGTTCTCTCTCCTTGTCTTCCACATCAAATATGTCGGAATTAGGTGATATTTAAGCACTGCAAATAAGAAATAGTGAGAACTTCTTCTATAAAAGTTTTAATTTTTGATACTAAACATACATACATATATAACTCCAATCCACTGACGTTATCATTAACATCTAGTAGAATATTTTTAGAGGTCCTTTAAACAAAAGGATCATATTCTCACTACAATTTTGAATGAGCAATAAAATGTGTTTGGTTCTTTAGCTACGATCAAGGTTCAATTTTGGATTATTTATCTGAGGTGGAAAGTCTTAAAATCAACCAATGTTTTATAGAACTAATTTCTGAAAAAAAAAAAAATCCATCAACAGTTTGAGGTTAATAAACTATTTCTGATAAAACTGGCTTTGTTTTGGAGGCAAGTTGCTTGATCATATATATATATATACACACATACATATATATGTATGATCAATTCAGAGGTACGATTACTTATATGAAAGTACTAACTCCCCTAACCCTGTCTTAATTTCATTATGGTGTTGCATCATTGGTACTAAGAAATTTCTTTTTGTATAGTAGCATTTTATCTTGCGTATCTTTTCCTATCGTTTCTATTACCCAGATCTTTTTCCTTTCCTCTTCAAATTGAGTGTTTCCTTACCTCAAGAAGGCATTGCATCCTAGTTATATAACATATTTATATTTTATTATGTTCTTCCTATGCATACTGAAAGCACATTACATTAGGTCATGGGAAATGCTGAGCGCTTTCCTATTACACTGACTAAAAAGGGATTTGAGCATGCTCGGCATCTCGCAGAAGGGCACATAGCATGATGTGCCCATCAAATATCAAATTTGCCAGATAGTATAAATATCAGCAATAACAGACATTGCAAGTAATTCTGAACATGGACTGGAAACTATTTGGCTATCAGAAGTGTTATGTGCCAAAATAGCGTTAGGGAAATTTGCAGCTCTCACAAGAGCATTCAGCTAACTCTTGATGGATCATCTGTAGCTTTCAGTGCTTTCTGGAAGCTCTTTCCTCCTCTTCCTTCATTGTTCATTATGAAGAAAATAGGAGATGAAACTCTCCAAAAACCACCAAGAAATACACATTAGCCTTAAGTACTTCAAGTTTTGGCAAATAGTGAAATCACTGGAAAACTTAACTTTTGTACTTGAATTCGAGGAGAGTAATGGGAATGAGCAAGAAGTCATGGACTGTGTTCACCAATATGTACGATTTATGTAAACTAGACTGTTAATTGAGAATCAACTTTCAGAGTATCTTAAGAGGCAACCACCTAGCTACTGAATAACACTCACTGTTCTCTGGTTAAAGTTATTGAATAATAACGGTGGAAGGAGATACACATGCAACACCATCAAATGGACCTGGCTAACAGGTAGAAAAACATAAAGACAATGGGCATTGTGCATGTCTGGGGACCGTGGTGAGACTGGAGCTGAGGGCAGGTAACATCCCTAAGGGGGTGTAGAGACCTGTGTATGAAGAGGAGACTTGACATTAATATGACTTAATCAGAATCGTATGGTTCTGATTAATATATCATTGCATAGGGTCACAACAAGGCAACATAAACTGCTACAGCAGTGGTCAGTTCACCCAACACT